CTCATCATAAGGAATCAGGTGCGGGCATGCTTATTGTCATTGCCATGCATCTATTTGAGCGGGAAGCTTTGGATTTATTCTGCACTTCGGCCATAGAGGAGTTACTGTAACAGTCCGAGTCTTGGTACCTCGGACCTGTCCTTACAGGGACTCTAACCCCCAATGGTGTGTGTGGAAAACTTATACAGTGACCACAACACACACCAAGGTTCCAGAAGCACCTCTATATTACTTAAATCTCAACATTTAATCTTAATAATAAAATTTTATGGTCTACTCACAACACAGACAACAATTAAAATCGAATATCCTAGAACTCATTCATAGATTCATATAATAAAAAAGGGATCCAATAATTAACAAATACCTGACAGTCAGAATCCTTTGGATCTGGGGTTGCCTTCCTCCTTTTCCGGTTCCTTGATTTTTTTTTAATTTTTTTATTGTTATCCTTCTTAGAGCTCCATTTTCTGGTTAAGCACAACAAATCCCCTTCCTCAGGTCCAGGATGGACGATAATCTGTGAAGAAAGAGCAAGAAGGTGTGGATCGGATGGCGGAGAAATAGGTGAAAGGGCGTGGAGTGTAGGTTAGAGAAGGAGAGAAGGAGGCTTGCAGCTGTAGGTGAGAGACTAGGGTTTCTCCTCTCTTACTAGGGGAAAGTCTGCTATATCCCCGGAATCTATAGCAGATGTAGTATTTCAAGCCAATCCATAAACACGACATCAGTTCCTTTTTTTTTTATCCATAATTGATCAAGTGTGACATGCTGTCCTGATGTTCATTGACTTGGGAGACCACATCTGCTGTATCAGCTCAGACACATAATTTACCAGAAGTAACCCTTCTGATTTTTTTTTTGAACATGCATGAGAAGAAGTAACCCTTCTGATTAAAACACCGGTTAAATAGAGAAAGGCATATTTATAGCTGAGTTCTTAATAAGTAAAATTTCCAAAATAACACTTTAGAATATGGATATTAATTGCTGTCGCTAGATTTTGAATCTAAAGAATTTAAGTGTAGTTGTCATTAAGCAACTGCTTCAATCTGACGGCGACATAACACGTTTAAATTTCCAAGACCATCAGCAGATGTAAAACGTGCGCATTGTCTTGAGGGCCATGCCCATGCCCAGTTTCGACCTGGGCTGAATCTGATACGGTGGTTTGGACTTTGGGTTGGCAAACGCAAGTGAGGGCCTTGTGGTTTTTGACCGGTTCACTGAACCTTCTGAGCCTAATGTCTGCAAAATTCCCCTCCATTCATGAAAAGCAAAATTTGTACTCCTTTTAACTGAAAATAATTATTATTTTTAGTTTTTTTTTTAATTAAAGATTTGAAATAATATATATTTACTTATATTACTTTAAAAAAAATTAAAAGATAAAATGATATTTTTTGTAATATGATAATTAATTAAAATAAATAAATGTTTATATAATTAAAATAAAAAATATTTATTTGTCTTAAAAAATAAAAAAAATAACAAATTTAGAACAAACTCAAAATAAAAAACCAACAACTATTCTGAGACAGAAAGAGTAATATAAAAGTAATTTGATATTCTTTTCGATCTCATTTATACTTGTTCAACTTTTTTAAAAAAAAGATAGAAATTAAATGTAAAAAAAGTTGCTTATGAAACTTTAATAATAGACTGAAATTGTAAAAAGTTTTATATTCAAATTCTTCTCATCCCCACATGTCAACTAAAATTGCGTACTTACTACATATAAAATGAAGTTGAAAAAAATTTGCATTAAAAACTATGGAAAATTTTTTGTTTCCCTGAGTAATATGGATGATGCCTATGAAATTGCATGTGGCCGAGTAAGTCATCATGCAC